TAAAGATAGCACTGAGATAAAACATGCTGCTTTAGAGCCTTGCCAAATACCCCAAAATAATCATAACCTTTTTCAGCCAGTTTTTAAAGTGTCCATCTACTGGTTGCTAATGGTTTTATGTTCATCTTTTAAACCACCATCAAACTTCTCAAAAATGTCAGAAATAATTGGGGCGAAGCAGGCCTTCTGATGGTCTGTTTATTTTGCAGATGTGGGAAGAGTATCCTGATGTTTATGGGGTTAGGAGGTCAAACCGAAGCAGACAAGAACCGTCACGATTTAATATAAAAGATGAGGTAAGGAAAAAAACAAAAGGATGAGGGATTACTGAACATATAAAACCATCTAAACCCAAAGAGCAAAGGGAGGTCTCATCTGCATTGCTTTGTACACTCTGAGTCCTAATTTGGTGTCTGGCTGTTGGAGCTCACAGTTGAGGTCCCAGTCCTGCAGCTGGATCCTCTTGGCCTGAGACCTCTGGAGTCAGCGGGACACTGCGTGGGCTGAGATCTGCATGCGCTGATCTGATTGCTGGAACGGGGCGTAATGCAAGTCATGCTCTGCTGTAGGAACATCCTGGAGAGAATGAATCTGTGTAATAAAAAAAAACAGAACAAAACCAAAACACAACACAAATCCAGCCAGGAATAAAGGAAAGTTCCCAGAAACACCTCAGAGCAACAAAACAGTCATTGTTGCCCATCCTGGAATGGATCCCACTAATAAATGCATTTGCGTGTCTGCAGCTTTATGAGCCATCACTTTTCTTTGACTGAATATTGGGGAATCTTTTGTGCTTCAGCTGGAGGTGACAGTGGTCAGAGCCTGGCAGCCAAACCTTTTAATAGTTCCTTTTTCAGAGCGTTGTTGTTTTCTTAAGATGTAGCAATTAGCTGCCACCTTCATTTGCATCTGACAGGCTTTGTGCATGGAGAGGTGAATCTGCAGGTCTTCAGGAAGGTCAAGTAGTTATAGAAGAGGGGAAAGGGAACCAGAAAGAGGCTTCCATGGAAAGCTTGGGGCTTAGGGCTAGGAATCTGAAGATAAGTAGCAGACTTTCAGCAGAGCAGGAGCCAAGTGGTGCTCTCTGAGTCAGGCTGTTTGTGCTTCACGACCAAAATGTGCATTTGAATGCTCGAGGGGTCAGAGTTGCACAGCAGCAAAGGCAGGTCTTGATCTCCTTGCTCTGGTGTGTTGTTGTTGAGCCTTGTGGCACCCCCAGTGCTACCACCTGCCCCCCCTGACTCTTGTGCTGGATGTCCCGCAGAGCAGCAGGTTAGGAAGGGCTCGGGACACACCATTGACGTAGCTTTTGTTTTCCTTTTCAAGTTCGGCAAAGGCCAGGCTCGCCTGCACTGTGCCGGCGACGTCACACCCACCTCAGACCTCCGCTGCACACCCCACTGCCCTCTTAGGGGCTCAGGTAAGTCCCATCTTTGTTTGTTTTACAATATTACGTGGTTTTGCAAATGTTGTTTTCTTTTTCAACATCTTTATTTGCCACTATTTAAGGTACGATAAAGTTAAAAAAAAAAATTAATCTGAGATGCAAAAACTTTGCTATACCACAGAATATTGTAAAAAACAAAAGAACCCACCTAACCCTTCAAATGACCCCACTGCAACTTCTGTGACACAGAAAGCCAAAATTAACAAAATTGGATCACCCCCTTCCCCTCTCTCTCCCCAAAGCAACACTGACTCGTCCTCGGCAGCTCCCGTCTGCAGCAGAGTCCGATGGAGGGTGTGACGTGTCAGGAGCACAGTGCTGGGGCCTCGCAGGAGGCAGGAGGACATGGAAAGTCTTGCTTTTGGAAGACCTAAACACCAAGAGGGAGGAAATAATGTGGCTCAAGCCTGCGTGGTGCTGAGCACTCCTTGCTGCTACTGGAGCTGGCAGAGACCCAAGGCGCTTGACCCCTCTCAAGATTGCTTTTTACCTTTGCAGGGTTAATCCTGTCACCAGTGACCTGCTCCTGTCTGTTGCTGCTTGGGACTTCCAGCACAGTGTCTGGGAGCTTGTAATTGCCTTCTTCCCTAATGCTTCTCTGCAGATTAGCAAAGAGCATTGCCCAGGCAGCGTGGCAGGCTCAGAGACCAGAGCAAGGATGAGGCATCGCAGCTCCCCACGTGCCGCCCCGTGACTCACCTGCGCGGGGGAGATGGCACGCAGGAGGAGGTGGTTCAGGTTTTGGGGCACTGCTCAATCACTGTGTCCTCCGAGAGCAGCACTTTGAGTAGGTTATTTGTGTGTTAGAAATGGTTACCTTCTGGGGATTTCTGCGCAGATGGTGTAGGTGCCCAAGCTGTGATCAGAGAGGGTGATAACTTGTGATCAATACCCAGGCGTGGGCTGAGCCATTGGGAAGCAAAAGTGCAGCTGTGCATGGGAGCACAGAGGTGCTCAGAAGACTTGAGCTGTCTCCAGGAACAAGAGCATGTGTGAGTTTTTTAGTAAAAACACTACTTCCCCAGGCATTTTCTTTGCAGTTAATAAATCCGCTTCAGGTTTCAGCCAGAGGATGTGAGGCGTGCAAAGCCAGGTGCCTTTCAGAATATTCAATCTGAAAGGGGAAACTTAATTTAGATATAAGGAGCAAATTCTTTGCTGTGAGGATGCTAAGGCCCTGGCACAGGTTGCCCAGAGATGCTGTGGATGCCCCATCGCTGTAAGTGTTCAAGGCCAGTCTGAACTGGGCTCTGAGCAACCTGTTCTAGTGAAAGGTCCCTGTCCATGGCAGGGTGGTTGGAACGAGATGGTCTGTAAGGTCTCATCCAACCCAAATCATTTTATAATTCCATCCTTCTAGGGCAATCAGGAAATAAATGTGCCCAAAACAGACATGATCTTTTTACCATAAAAAGGATGGTGTCAGGTTGAAGTTAGTAATAAATGTCACAAGTGCATCTTTTCTGTGAGAGAGAGAGGCCACAAGGCACGCACCGGAGCATTCTCAAAATACAGCTGGTTTTATTATTGGAAAAAAAAATTCTGCTCATTTGCATTTTGGTCAATGCTTTCCCTCATGTATTTGCTGAAAGTTCAAACACTGTTGATCTCACTAGGAAAGAGAAGTTTAGCAGACAAGACTAAGCTGGTGAACTGAGGTTCTCCAGCTTTTCTGGACCACTAGAGCATGACCACTGTTAAGCCTGAAATGAGCAAATTCTCACTTTGACTGTAGTCTGAAATATTTCTTGCCTCTGTTTAAGCAAGACTTTATTTCTCCTAGTAGGCAGCATGAGCTCCAGAGGCTCACCTGGGCCTCCTCTCCAATGGTCTGGAGACTCCATTTGTCATGCTCTGTGCTAGTAATGACACTTATGGGCAATCTGAAAGAATAGAACTTTAAAACTGCTGCTGCACTGCTGTGCTTGGTGCTACTTAAGCAACATCATTATGTTTGTACAGTGTTGCTCCGCAGCAAAACGCAGCCTAGTTAATCTAGGAAAATCACATGTGCTTTGTATGATGGGACAGAGAATTAATTAGATGTGAGGAGTCAGCGAGGCATGGAAAGGGAAGGCTGATCCCTTCAGCTGGAGGTGGGGAAAACAAACTGGTTTGTTTTCCACTTCCTAGTCCAGTTGGTAGTGGTGCAGGAATAGGTTGGGCACATTTTTAGTATTTGTTAGGGAAGGGGGGAGACAAGGGAGGACAGGTCATCTTTCCCCTTGGCCATGGCAGCAGCACCCAGAGGGGCAGCTGGAGCCCAGCGCTGGCACTCAGACTCTGAGGGTGAGCAGTGTGCCCCTGGCATCTCCTGCTGGGGTGACAAAAATCCCACTGGGGACTGGGAATGGACTTTGCTGGGTTAGCTTGTGTCTTTCAGGAAGGTGACGTTATTAAAATCCAAATTGCGCGTGATTTCCCAACCAGTCTGCTTCCTGACGGTGGTGTGTGGCAGCCTGAGTGCAGATGGGACCTCAGGTGCACACTCTGGACCTGACGTTCCCCCAGATCTCTGTTTTGCATCTGCATTTCCTTAACCAAGGAGTTTGCTTCCAGGAGACAGGGTTGGTGGTAAGGGAGCAGGGAGGATAAGCTGAGCAGCTGCAGGCACAGCACTTCCCGGCACTCTTTGCTGGGACAGGGAGGATGTGGGAGCACAAGTCAGGCAGATGACTCAGGCTGGGGACTGGCTATGTCAGAGGAGATATTGCTGGGCTTGACACACATCCAAAACAGACAATGGTGTCTTTGAAAAATGTAACTGAAGGCGGTTGAGCTGCAGTCACAAGTTAAATTTTTCAAGGAGGAAGAGAGGAGGAAAAGACGAGTCATTAAGAGATTGTCATCAGCTTTGTAGAGACAGTAACAGAGCAGGGGGGAAAGTACAGGCATTAGGAAAATGCACACTAGAAACCTGAAAAATGGGATTTTGGTAAAGAAGTGGAGTTAGTTTCAAAGAGCTGAAGGTTTTATTTGATTTTCTCCAAATGTGATCTTCTCTGACGCAGATCAGAAGAGACACCCACCTCTCTTTGCCTGTGGCTTGCCAAAGGACAGAAAAAAGTAAACGTGTGCTCAGAAATTGTGCCAAAATGGAATGGCAAAGCTTCAGAAAGCAGATAAGAACTTAAAAGAGAAAAATAGGAAACTGAGGACTTTTGCTTGCCAAAACTGAAATCTGTGGAATGCTTGGCTTGTGTTGCAAGGGTAGATAGGGCTCTCCATGGTGTTTGCCAGTCACTTGCTTCCTGGATGCTTCGTAAATGAGACAGGAATTTCACGCAGGGCTGTGAAACAGGTGGATCAACTCGTGTTTGTAGTGAGATATGGTGCAAAAGGTGTTATTGTGTCACATGCAAATGTGACACCAAACCACAGTGAAATTCAGAGAAGCTCTTGGTCTAAGGTGGCATCCAGTGTTTCAGTCTGTTTTAAATGGGTACACTGGTACAAGCGAGAGAGAAATTTCTGTTGGTGGAAGGAAAGCTGGAAAATGGAAATAAAGGGTGCAGAAAGAGAACAAAGGGGTGAGCCATGGCTCTCCAGAACCTCCACTTCTTCATGTTGCAGCTCACACAGTTTCACAAAACCCTTGTGTGATCAGTTGAAGCTGTGTGAGCTATATCCAGGAGGGCACTGGGGGAGTCAGGGGATGCAAACTGAGGTACCCGTGGTGATGGACAGACAGTACATAGAGCCAAAGATGAATACAGCAGCAAAAAGCAGTTTGAAGTGGAAGATTTCCAGTGTGTGGAGAAAGCAGCCTTGGAGGCTACTTCTGTCATCTTAATACTCATTTAGAAATCTCACATGGGTTTCTTCAGTTTTGTCCCTAGCTATTTGTGTTTTCTGGGGCAATCTGTTTCATGGTTGACTAGTTTTTACGAAAATGGGGTTGTGTACAACCAGCTTAAAGACTTTTTTTTTAGCTATCTTGGTCTGTAGGAGTTAATGACGCCCATTTAAAATAGTACAGCAAGTAGTTAGAATAGCTCTGGATATATTTAGCCAGAGAGAGTCTCACTGGTGAGACTGGAGGATTAGCAGGAGGGAAAGCAGCAGGACATGGCTCTGACCCATTCAGGTCCTCAGTGACTTTGGCTGTGGGAGAAAAAAGCCAACAGCAAAGCAAGGACACTCTTGTGATGAGAACGTTGTCTTTTTATGAGAATTTCCTTCCTTCTAGAAATCATAATCAATTTCTAGATCATAATTCATTTGGTGGACAGATTCACCCTGTGTGTTTGTAATCCATGGGGTGTTGCACCATTGGGTGTTGCACTGTAGGTCTGGTGTGACAGCATCTCATGGATACTGGAGGTTGATGCTGAGGGGTAGGTGAGTCCTGAGCTCAGGGACTCTAAGATAGATGGTGTGATAGAGCTCTCCAGGCTCTCTGCAGAGAGTTTCCTCCTACACCAAGGCGGTGGTGCCGAGGAGCAGCTGCTCTGCCACAGCCCTGTCGCTCCAAAGCACCTCCAGCCCTGCAGGGAAAGGGCCTGGGCTCAGCCCACGTGCACGTGTTTCAGTTGCATCCTTGAGGAGTCAGTCCAGAGTGAAGCCTACAACCTGATTTTCTTTCTTTTCAATTAAAGGCAAGTAGCGAATCTGAAAATGAGAGCCCAAAAAGAAGACGACAGAAGCAGTTGAAAAGAAAGTAAGTTTTCTAGGGAAAGGGTTTCCAGTGGTGGTACTTTGGTTTATTTTTCAGAACAGCAGCGCACAGGATTGCTTGATGGGAGTTGTCAACATGGTGAATTTGTAAAATAAATAATTTTAATATTTCCAGTAATAGTACTTTGGATTACTAAAATTGAAGTATGAAAATGGATCTACAGATGGATGCAATTTCCCAACTTTTGTTTGTATTTTCCCACTATACCTGTGATGGAATCTGAACAAGTCAGGTTCACTTTCTGTTGTCAGTCTTTCATTTCTCCATCAGCTTACTGATTCTCCTTCAGAGATACCTAAAACAATTTAATCCCTTCTCCTCCCACCTTTTGGATTATCTAAGAATAAAATACCAAAATATTATCCTCTTCTATCTTTCATAACCCTCTATTAAAACAATAGAAATTCCATAAAGAATGTTTTAGGTGTCTGAGCACTGTAACTGAGTTCACTTACAATCGTATTTTACTACCTTTTCCCACCTAATAAGTATCTTTTGGTTTTTCCAAACCCTAAAGGGAACCATGGAGCTATGAACTGCTTGCTGGAGAAAACTTAAACACAGCCACGTGATTCTGCTCCCTTTCTCCTGCATTTTGTTTTCATTTAGCTGTACACATCGGTGCAGGAGGGAAGGTGATAAAGCGCAGAGAGGACTGTGGGTTATGGACCTCTCCTGGGCAAGGGGAATGATCCTTGTGGACTCTCCATGCCCCCTTGGACAGAGGAGGGACTCCTTCAAAGGGCATTTTGGAGCTGCAACTTTGCTCTGAGCTGCCCACAGAGAACATGCTTCCTTCCACTGATGGTACAGCATGATTTGGCTTCACACTTGGGAACTTTAATACCCTGAATTTAGATAGCAAGAGACTTCTTGCTCCGTTTTCTGGGCTCCAAGGAACTCATGAACTGTCAGTGTTGTGGCTCATACTTCATAAGTGATAGTGAGCACTTCAGATCTTTCCAGCCCGTTTCAAAAATGCAGAAGTAGAGAAAACCAATCAGTTGAAGCCCTTGCCCACCCAAGTGTGAGCAGTACAGCTCTGCCTCCAGCACACTGTGTGTGGTAAGAGCTGCTCTCACTCAAGAGATCAAGGCAATCCTGCCACTGTGTGAATCAAAACACAGGTGCCCAAGACCTCCTCCTAAAAGCAGAGAATTGCACCATCACATCCCCCCTGCATTGCACTGAACAGCCAAGGGTGCAGTCTGGAACTTTTTCTTGTAGTTATGGCCTTGATGGCTTGGATATCTGTTCAACCAAGTATTTGTGTAGAAATATCATTGCCCTTCATGACCTGCATTTCTGACTGTAGAATTAAATGGAAAAGAGAGGTCTCTGCTGGGGAGGAGGATGAAGATGGAGGGGAGCAAGGCACCAGTGGAGAGAGTGAACCTGAACCGAAGAAAATTAAAGCAAGAAGACCTGTCCAAAGGAGGTAAGGACTGGTTGGTTCAGTCTCTTTTTCTGCCTGTGCTGGGTGAAGAGAAAATCTCTACTTGTCATTAAAGATTGTGGATTTTTTTCCTGTAATATTACCCTGGTTTATGACCTAGTAAACCTAGGGCCTAGTTACTCCCTCATCTCCCCATCTAGTGCTCCAGTGAATAACACAGTGGTTTCCATGATAGAGCAGACTAAATCCCTTAGGAGTCTAATATTTGAGATTCATGCATTCCTAAAGACTTATTACAGCAGATGTTTACATAAACCATGCTGTACTATGGCTTTATTAATTCTTATTTTAGAACAGTGGCCAAAACTGGTGTTAAAAAGCCCCACAAAGTCCAGCGTGGGAAGAGAAAGAAACCAGACTCATCTGAAGACGACGATGATGACGAAGATGATGAGACCCCCAAGAGACAAACTCGACGCAGAGCAGCCAAAAATGTCAGGTGTGAAGAAGTGTGGGGTTGCTCGATGATGAGAGCTGGGAGGGGAGGAGGGGGCACTGAGGGACTCTGACTGCCTGAGTGATCCTGCACATACCTGTGGCTGAGGTGTGGTTATTTTGACAGGTTCATGCTGTGAACATCTGACTTTACCTTGTTTTGCCATCTGTAAAGGAAGGAATATTTACCAGTTCCTCTTAAAGAAATGTGAGGGGGTTTGTGTAATGTTTCTAAAGAACCTTCAGATGAGATTAGTAATTGCAAGTAATGGTTAAAAATGAATAAAAGGGAGCAGCTGTGCTGGATTGGAGCAATTGTCTGAGAGTAGATGATGGGTTATGCCTTAGGATAGAGTGTTCAGGCATGGTGGAGGTAAAGCTTTATCCATTCCCCAATGTGCCTTCTCACCTTTCAGCGCTCTTAGTAAGGGAGTTGCAAAGAACCACCCTAATAATATTTTGTGGTGGTTGAACATTCATCAGAGATGAGAAGTGTAGTTCCTAGAGCAATGTAGGCACCCAGGCAAGCCTTTTATGCTCTGAAACCTCTGTTGTTAAAAAATAATCTTTCCATGGATAGTGGAGACTTTCTCTGTTGATAGCCTTTCCTCTGCTGCAGCAATTGTTCCACCTCCTTACGGAGCATCTGATGTTAGCCATGGTCAGAAAAACTTATCTGGACAAGATATAGGATTAGTCTGATAAAGTGTGCCTATCTGGGTGTCCTGGGGAAAAATACTGAGTGGATGGCTTAAGACATGTGTGTGCTGAACATGCACTGAGCCCTGGGATAAACGGTGCAGAAGGTGCTCCACAGTCTGTGCTGTTCCATGCGTGTGTGGACTGGGAGGAGTCAGGGGTTTTAAATCAGTTTGGTTTTGTTCTTATTCAGTTACAAAGAAGATGATGATTTTGAGACAGATTCTGATGACCTGATAGAGATGACCGGGGAAGGAGCTGATGAACAGCAAGACAACAGTGAAACTATTGAGAAAGTCTTGGACATCAGGCTTGGAAAAAAGGGAGGTGCGTAGTTCTGGAAAAAGCCTTTATTTCTCAATGTGCACTCATAGTTTCTTGTGAGCTGGTGCAATGCTTTTGTGACTTCAGAGAGGGGCCAAGGATTGTTCCAGTGCTTTTCACCCTCTCCTCTGTGCTTCTTATTTATGTCTTGCAGCAGCTTTGGTAACATGTAGTATTGAAAAACCTAAAATCTCTAGTTTATGTGTTCAGCAGCTTTCATTTAGCCTGCACACATTTTAAAGATGCAGTCATTGTTCTGCAATTCCTGCTTTTCTCTTCTTTGAAATATAAAATAGATCTTCCAGTAGAGTCAGTTTTCATAGCCCCACTGACAAAGCCATAATGAAAATAAAGCCGATGTTTTGTTCTCAAAGCCTTACAAAAGTGTTTTTGTAAAACTGAATGGTTGTGAACTTTTCAAGAGACCTTTGAATTATACTTAAAGAAAAGGTACTTATGACAGAGAGACTTAAAAAGATTCTGTTGTATGGAAAACTTTTGTGTGCCTGCCTTATAGGGTTGCAGAATCTGTAGGATATTCTTTGTGCTGCCACGAAAGATGTATTAGAAGAGTAGCTTTCTGCTCTAATGCAGTTGAAGAGCAGGGGTTGGTAAGGAAGGTACTGACTGCAGCCCGATTTCTCTTGCAGCCATTGGTGCTTCCACCACGGTTTATGCGACCGAAGCCAACGGCAACCCCAGCGCGGACTTCGATCCTGAAAAGGATGAGGGGGAAGTTCAGTACCTGATCAAATGGAAAGGCTGGTCATACATCCACAGCACCTGGGAGAGCGAAGAGTCCTTGCAGCAGCAGAAAGTGAAGGGCCTGAAAAAGCTAGAAAACTTCAAGAAAAAAGAGGAGGAGATCAAGCAATGGTAGGCTTTGCTCAACCAGTGATTTGGCCTCGGGCAAGTCGTCTTTAGCCAGACTTTGCAGAGTTGAGACTGGAAACATTTGATTTTTTCTTGCAAAGTGTGTGTTTCTTGGAAACAAAACTCTGGTCTCTCTTAAGGCATTTGAGGAATATCCCCCCTCATAGAGATGATATCTGTGGTATTGATGTCTGCGAAATGGAGAGGAAGAGGCATGAAATCTACACTGTTGCCACTTCCCAGGCTTAAGAATTGTGGTAACAAGTAAATGTTGCACAAATTCGCCTGGCCCAGGAGGTGCTGTGAGGCCTTGCAGCCTTGTTAACCCTTGTTAGTTATGGGCTTGTCCATATGCAGGTTTTTGCATCAGTTTATGTCCAACTGCCTCAGGAACTATAAGGGGAGCTAAGGTGTGTTTCCAAAGTGCTAAAGCTGGAGTAGCAGCTTCCATCTCGCTCTGACTCAGGTTTTGAGACCAACTTGTACATCATAATAAGGCATCATTTAACAGGTAGACAGTCTGAACACCTGCCATATTTGCTTCTCAGTAAAGATTTGTAATTATAGGAAATTTAAGAAACATGTCATGTAAGCAGCAGTGTGCTCTAGTGGTTTGTCTGAATGACAGAACCATATAGGAAAGTAGATTTTCTCTGTGTGGCATCTATGAGCATTATGACAGAAGCATTATAGTGGGTTTTTGTTTGGATTTTTTTGCATCTAGGCTGGGCAAAGTATCACCTGAAGATGTGGAATATTTCAACTGCCAACAAGAGCTGGCATCAGAGCTGAACAAACAGTATCAAATAGTGGAGAGAGTAATTGGTAAGTGAAGCCAGTGCTTTTGTAAAGGCATGAAGTAAGATTGGGGTCTTTAATCTCTGTGAAAGCAAAATGATTGCACAGTTCTCTCATCTTCTGTGTCCCTCAGTGTCTCTGAATTAAAAAAAAATGTGTTAAGTGTATTCATTGTGTGAAATTCAGGAATTTGGGCAGTAGGAATCCAGGTTTACAGATTTGTATTTATAGGCAATACAAATCAGTCACTCTCCCTGTCTGGAGTGTGGGAAGTTCTTTGACTTCAGCCCTTTGGTTGCAAGGTGTTTGTATCCTAAGCATCAGTACAGGCCTGGCTTCTGTGAGGACCACTTTCTGTGGCTGAGGATGTGGTTAGGCTGCAAGGCAGCTCCGGGTTAGATTTTCAGGATTAATTAATAAAACCAACATTGGTAATACCACAAGTCATGTCAGTCAGAGGTGCCAGCGCTCAGTTGTTTTGGGAACTGGCTTGGAGAGCTATTTAATCTGTTTCCAATAGAATTCCTATAAAAACTTGTGTTGTATGGCAGTGACCGCCTTCCCTGCTCCCTCTGCTGGCTGTTAGCACACCAACCCTCTTTTCCCTTCTCTCTCAAAACACAGCTGTGAAGACCAGCAAATCTGGCACGGGACATTCAGATTTCCCAGGTAAAGGAGCATTTTTTAGTCCCTCTACACTTTTCCTACTTTGTCAAGACCTGTCTTGTGGCTGTAGGGGCGGCTCAGCCTGTGCCTGTGAACTGCGCTTGTGGTTCAGCCGCTCAACCACAGGTACTGAGGTTTGGGCTTTGTTTTTGCATATTTTACAGCAAACAGTCGCAAAACATCCTCAAATGATCCCGAATACCTGTGTAAGTGGATGGGGCTGCCCTATGCTGAGTGCAGCTGGGAAGATGAGGCTCTGATAAGCAAGAAATTCCAGCACTGCATCGACAGCTTCAACAGTCGGAACAACTCCAAAACGATTCCCACCCGGGACTGCAAGGTTTGCCGGCTTCTTTCCTCTCCTTTACTGGCTTTCTCCAGGCTAGGAGGTGATGCAAGCAGTGGGAACATCAAGTTTTATCAGGATAAATGTCAGAGAACATTTTCCCATCCTCCTACCTGTGTTGGAAGCGTTGTTTGCTGTTCTTGTATTGTACTTTAGGCAGAGATATGAACCCCTTTGAGTTTCATTTACGCTGTGCACAGTGAGAACCCCTGGGGAGTGGGAGCCTTAATTAAGCTTTGCAAAGTGCTTCCTTCTCAGAAGGGGCTGCAGGAGTTTTAATATCAATTGGATGAAAAAAACAGCACACCTAGTAAAAGAGGAAACCTGCAAGATGCTGATACAGTGGAGGAGAGAAATAATGGGAGAAAAATCAAAAGACAACAAAGAAGAAAGTGGAGCTTGTTCCAACTCATGTGCTTTATTCACAGCTTACTGTGCTCTTGGGGGGACTCAGAACTCTGATCCTCAGAACCAGAGAACAGCAGGCAAATCACAAGAAATGCAGACACAAGCACTAGCTGGGAAAATGTGTATGGACTTGAATCAGTGAAAAGAAACGCAGTCTTTGCTGAATTCATAGATATCATTGCTAAATTTTCAGCCTTTCAACCACTGACTATTTTGTCCTTCTCTTCAGTGGACTTATGGCAGCATCTTTTTCAGGTATTGAAGCAGAGACCGAGGTTTGTTGCTTTGAAGAAGCAGCCCTCGTACATTGGCGGTGAGAACCTGGAGCTGAGGGATTACCAGCTGGAGGGCCTCAACTGGCTCGCTCACTCCTGGTGCAAGTATGTACGGATGCTGTGACATTCATTTTGTGTCTCCTGGTTTTCGTCCCAGTAGTACTTGGCCCTCTTGTTTTCAAGTGAGGTCTTTACCCGCCCTCCTTCTGCAGCTTGACGGATTTCAAATGTTATCACACCCAGCTGCATTGCAGACACTGAAAGTAGGGAACTATCTAAAACATGAACTTCAGAAACCTTGTGTGAAAACAAAAAGCGTTTTCCCTGTCTAGGCCTGTTCACTTGCTGAATTTGGCTGTTGTGTGAGCCTGGTACATATCAGTCCTGGTTTTCCATTGACTTAATGGAAAAAAAGCTTTCTGTCTTAGCACGTTTATATACTCACTGAAGTTTTTGAGAAATGTCCTCCTAAAATTAGGCCACTGATTCCCCTCTCCCTTTCCCTTTGTCCTCCAGTTTGCAGTCATCATAGTTCATTTTTGCACATTATTGTGCCATGTGCAGTCCAGATGTCCCCGGGATCCACTTGGAAGTGTTTAGATAACTGTTTTTGCACTACCCCTCTCTATCCTTGTTGTGGATTGCTGTTCCCGTGGAGCACACTAAATTACTAGTGGCAGAAACATGTGCTTAGGCAGCATCTTCGTTTGTTCTCCTCTTTCCCAGGAACAACAGCGTGATCCTGGCTGACGAAATGGGACTGGGCAAGACGATTCAGACAATATCATTCCTGTCATACCTGTTCCATCAGCACCAGCTGTACGGCCCTTTCCTGGTGGTGGTGCCCTTGTCCACTCTCACCTCGTGGCAGAGGGAGTTTGAAGTGTGGGCACCTGAGATAAACGTGGTGGTTTACATCGGAGACCTCATGAGCAGGAACATGGTGTGTAATCAGAGGGCAAAGGGTGAGGGGTTGGGCTGAAGCACTGGGTGAAAAGCAGCAGCTTCTGTGTGATGTGTGTGACATTCTGCTGGAGAGGCTGCTGGATATTACTGTCAGCCCTGCAGGCAGCTGGAGCTGGTGTAACAGCTCATGGGTGTAATTCTCTGCTGCAGGGAATTTTATACTTTGTTTTCCCTCTTGGGTTGAGCCCAGGAATACTGGTTTTTCTTAGAGTCTAGGAACTACTACTGGGCTGAAACATGCTGCAGTGAGGAGTCCAGCAGTGCAAAAGTGCTTGTCTCCTGTGTTTGGAATTATTCAGACAACAGAGTCTAGTGGTGTCCATAGTGCAGTGACGCTCATTTAGCTGATGAGGTTAAAGTTCCAACAGCAAGTTGACCTTATTTTGTTACCTGTGAAAGGGCAGTTGAACCATGTGTGCACTAAAACAAGCTGTTCCTTGGGCACCCTGAGCTCATCAAATGGCACCTTGAACAGCAGGTGCTTTGGACTTGGTTGGAGTCTCTGGCTACAGCTACATTAAAATAATGATTGATAACTCTTTCTTTTTGATAACCTTGGTTGAAGCTAACATCTGTCTCCCCTCACAGATACGTGAATACGAGTGGATCCATTCTCAGTCTAAAAGATTGAAATTTAATGCACTTATCACAACATATGAGATCCTCCTCAAGGATAAGGTGAGCAGTGGTCCAAGAGTGTTTTTACTTAGACTTTCTCTCATTTCAAAGGGGGAAGCCAGTCTCTAGCTGGTGGGTTTCCCTTCTTCCCTCTGTGGTGATGGAGAACATACAACTACTATTTCCTTTTGCTTGCCAGTAATACACAGGGAATGTGGGACACATAGTCTCTTCACTCTTGTACTGCACAATTGTTTTATTCTTTTCACCTGTAAGGCCTCTGGCAGGGCAGTAGCTGGATTTTTACCTGATTAAACTTAGGCTTGTTAAGAGGACTAAACATTACAGTGAACCTCTGGCCATAGTGTTAGCAATATCTGTGTTTTTACACCTGGGAGAAATCTGTCTGCTTAGGAAATACTCATCAACCCTGTCAGTGCGTCACTAACATCACTGAGTCCTAGAAGAAAACAAAAAAAGCTTTTTTGTTGTTGTTTTTTGGAGGTTTCTTTGTTTTAAAAAGGTAAAAATCACAACTCTTAGATGACCTGAACTTTTTAGTCTTGTTCATCTGCTCTCCTGCTGCTGCTGCTGCTTCAGCGGGACTAGCACTACCCAAGGTCCCAAGGGCATGGAGAAAGAGGTGAATAAAGAGTTAGGGGGGGACTGTGGTAAAGCAAAGGAGGATTAAAATAGGAGTGTTTCACAGCATGGCTAATGTTCACTTTTTCTTTTCTGGGGAGGCAAAACCAGTGTAGGCATCTTAGTCTCTACATTCTGTTAGTAAGAAACTCTTGTGAGCCCAGCTCTGGCTGGGTCAGGACATCCAGGGCAGCTCACACTGCAGTACTTTCTGGCTGTGGAGAGAAAGGCCTGGGCAAGGTGGTGGGGCTTGTCTGATCCAGCGTCTCCTTGGCGCCTGTGTTTTTTCCTTCTCTTCCTCCAGACTGTTTTGGGAAGTATTAACTGGGCCTTTCTAGGCGTGGATGAAGCCCATCGGTTGAAAAATGACGACTCTTTGCTGTACAAAACATTGATTGATTTCAAGTCCAACCACAGGCTGCTGATCACCGGCACCCCACTTCAAAATTCACTGAAGGAACTCTGGTCCCTGCTGCATTTCATCATGCCAGAGAAGTGAGTCCTTCCAAGAAATATCTCTCTGTCCATTCTTGTCTGTTAAGTAGGCTCAAGGGAGTGCAGAATGGCAGAAATCCCTGAATTACATCCCTGAATTAAACTTGGTGGAGTGACAGCAACGAAAGGGGAACAGACGTTGGTGGGGAAAATCAGAGGTTAAATAACACAAGGAGTATTTCTGGCAGCAAACTGAATGGCGAAACCTGATACATGCCTTTTAAATCTGTCTGCTGTCTTCGAGCCATCTCTGAAAAGCTAAACTTGTTTCGAGCAATCAGCCATTTCTGAGGTTTCCAGTACACTGTGGTTCAGGCACCCTGGCCAACCATTTCATGGCAGGCTCTGGGAGTGTCACTCCAGGACAGTGCTGTCTGGCTGATTGTGTGTCCACAATATAACAAATACTTTGTTTTCTTTAAAATAAAATGAGCTATGGGCATTCCTAAGGCTAAGGCAAGCATGCCCCAAAGTTCACTAAAATCACGTTTGACTGAAAAAAGAGCTGTCCCCCAGATTCTTTTTGTTGGATCACAGAAAGAGAGAAGGATGGGTTTGGGGTCTCCCAAGTGGAGGAGAAGGAGCATATTCTCCACATTTCAGGGTAAAACTTAGTGTGGTTGTCAAAGCCCTGCCTAGGGGAAGGCACTGTGGAAAGTTCAGAAACTGCTGCCAGTTAAATGCCAGCAGAGCAAAATACTGGAAAACTTGGAAGTCTGGGTCCTCAGACTTCTCAGTGTGGAGCTCAGATAAAGAGGTTAGGAAGGCACCTAAGCCCAGAGAGCTTCTAGCTTTGCCACCAATCTGTTTAGTTAGCAAGAGCAGAGTGAACCTGTTATCTTCCACTGTGTTTCCATTCATTTGATGAGCTCCTGTCCTGTGCAGCAGGAGCATATCTAACAGATGCTGTGTGGTGCTGTAAGACAAGACATTCTGACCTCTCCCTGCTCCTCATTTCTGTTGCTAGGTTTGAGTTCTGGGAGGATTTTGAGGAGGATCATGGGAAAGGTAGAGAGAATGGCTACCAAAGCCTTCACAAAGTCCTGGAGCCTTTTCTCCTACGAAGAGTGAAGAAGGACGTGGAGAAATCTTTGCCAGCCAAAGTGGAGCAGATCCTCCGGGTGGAAATGTCTGCTCTGCAGAAACAGTATTACAAGTGAGTCATTTAATAAGTTACTGGGAATGCCAGTAGTAATGGGCCTTGGGAATGTGTTTCAATATACTGTGGATACTGTGGCCTTCAGAGTGCAAAATGACAGCCATCACCTGTAGTACCAGGAGCTTCCCAGTAGGAAGCTGAGGTAGGGTAGTTGGTATCATTCCTTCCAAAAAGTCACCTCCAAACCACTGGAGATGCTCTTGTAGAACAATACAGTTGGTCAGCTTTGCATGACAGACGTTACATCTTTCCTGGGGGAGTAAAGATCTGCACAAAATTGTGATGCTGTTCAATATTAAACTGTGGTAATATCAATAGGAAAGTAAGGTCATGGTTTCTAGTGAGCAGTGTCCTGTAAAAGAAGTGAGGAGAGAGAGAGGGAGGGAAGTAGGCTGATGCCTGAACAAGATTTTCCGGAAGGTTTTGTTCCTCCAAGACCCCAGCATGTGCACTCTGGGCTGTCAAATGATCTGGACTTCCATTTTGCTGCCTGCAGGTGGATTTTGACAAGAAACTACAAAGCTCTTTCGAAGGGAACAAGGGGAAGCACATCTGGTTTCCTGAACATTGTGATGGAATTGAAAAAGTGCTGCAACCATTGCTACCTTATCAAACCTCCTGAGGAAAACGAGAGAGAGAATGGCCTTGAGACCCTCCAGGTGAGTGGTGCCTTTGGTCACCACCTTTTTTCCTTGACTTCCCTCCTTTTTCTGTCCTCCCAGCAAGATAAGATCTGTGGCTTCTCCTTTAGAAGCAGTCTGCACAACTAAGCCCCTTAAACTTTCAGTGGAAAGTTCAATGGAGGCAACATCCCATTTTCAATGGAGGCAACATTTTGTGGCCATCTAGAGCAGGAGTTGCAGGCAATGTAATACATGTCTTGAATGATTCATTATGTATGTGGCCTCTGCTGTGTAAATCCAGATGATTTGATTAGAGATGTACAAGAGATGTGTGACCCCAAAAGAAGAAGATCTGTGCCTGTCTGTATAATGTAAGACTGGAAAACATCAGCTGGAATGATGGTTATTTTTCAGTCTCTGATCAGGAGCAGTGGAAAGCTAATTCTCTTGGACAAGCTGCTGACCAGGCTGCGGGAGAGAGGCAACAGAGTGCTGATCTTCTCCCAGATGGTGAGGATGCTGGACATCCTGGCAGAGTACCTGACTATCAAACACTACCCTTTTCAGGTGAGAAGCATCAGCATGCAAAACAGTGGGGTTCTCTTGAAAATGTGTGAAAATGCAGAGGGAGCTTGAGCAACGGGAGTCATTGAGTTTCCCAGAGACTAGTGGCTGGGATTACAGGTTGCACTTACTGCAGGGAACTGGGATGTCCCTTCATTTCAGTGTGGCCATATCTCTGCAAAACTCCTTTGACAGGCCCTTTTGGCCTGTGTCCTGTGATAAACTGTGAGGAGAGGACAGTGAACACAGAGAGCCTGGCTGGGAGCCTGTAATGGGAGCTGTGGTGTCACCCGCCGTGTGAGCATCCCCCCTGTCCTTGTGACACAGCTGAGGCATTGCAGTTATTTTTAATTGGAGGCTATTTTTAACAGTCAAATGCTGCAGGCTGCAAAAGGGGCTGTAGGGCTTGCAGAACCTGAGTGCACCAGTTCCTCAGGGCTCCTTTACCTTCTTCCTTTTATCACTGTTGTTGATTTTTCCAGCGCTTGGACGGCTCGATCAAGGGGGAGATCCGAAAGCAGGCGCTGGATCACTTCAACGCCGACGGCTCCGAGGTACCACAGTCCTGCCTCAGGAGGGGCCGGGTGGGCTGCCCGGGCAGTGGGTGTTGTGGCTGAGCCACAGGTTGTGACTGCCAGGAGGGGATTAGTTTAGTTCATTTCTTTTTACAAGACCCCAGGTACTTTTAAAGACACAGATACAGCAGGTTTTGCAACTGGCCATGTTGCTTCTTTTCAGTCTCCCGTGTCCAAGGAACAGGGCTGCGAGTCACACCTCCAGAAAGTCCAGAAGAGGCTGGGAAGAGCCAGAATTTAGCAATGCTCTCCCTATGGTTCAAAGAACGAGAGGTGGTTATTAAATGATTCCAGTCTGAAGCTGATTTTGGATATGAAATAGCAAAGGCAAATGGAGGATTTTTTGTGTTGGCAGGTAGTAGAGTCTGGTGTTAGAGGCAAAAGTCTCCAGTGTAATAGGAGAGGGCATCTCAAACCTCTCATCCAGGATTGCTGACTCACAGTGACTGGTGCAAGGCACTTGTTTTTGTGTCAGTCAGCCCAGTCATGAAAAATATCTTTCCTCACTCCAGAAGTCTGGGCTGGAAGGCAATTCTTGGCTGGCACTGGAGATACACAGATTCTTCATGGCTGTGGGAAAGTTAACAAATAAAAATGAGAAGGAGACAGCAGTAGAAGTGGGAAGGGAGTAAGAATGCCCATAGAACCTGCCCTTTTCCCCTGTTTTGAGGGCATCTGTAGGGTCTCAGGTGTCTTGGCTCTAACCTGGCTTTCTGTGCCCTTGAGCAGTAACTTGAACAGTCTGTTAGTTGCTGATCTCACTCCCAACAGGATTCAGGCAAGAAAAAGCAGATGTTTGTCTTTTGCCTTTGTAGGAATCTAGTGGTCTGACCTCCAAAAGTGACTCCAAGGTGCCCTTGCTCTGAGCTGCTTTGTTGCTGTCCCAGATTGATGCATACCTGGATTAGCACATCTTTAACCCCTGCCAGCACTGCCTCACAATGAGTCCTGGCTTAAAGAACACTGGTGCTTAGCCTGTGTATGGGAAGGAAATCCTTTTTCTGCTTTAAGAAGCATGAGTGCAACAGAGCCTTACATTTCCTTGTATAGCTTTTGAGTCACCAATGCTATTTTATGTCCACAGTTACAGGCTGGTTAACTCATGGACGCTTTTCTTTTTCCCCCCTCAGGACTTCTGTTTCTTGTTGTCAACACGAGCTGGAGGGCTTGGAATTAATTTGGCCTCTGCTGATACTGTTGTTATCTTTGATTCGGACTGGAACCCCCAAAATGATCTTCAGGCTCAGGCCCGAGCTCACCGGATTGGACAAAAGAAGCAGGTCAGAAGAGCTGCCTGGATCGTTTTGTCTGTGGCTTCAGTGTGAGCACCTAAACAGGCTGCCACTACACCAGAGCTTCTGAAAATATGGTCTTTTTGCTCCAGTCCTGAATTCCAGAGAGTGCTGCCAGCCTCAGGGAATCTCACTGAAAAATCAGTCCATGTTTGCCAGATGCCAAGCCTTCATGTTGGCTTTGGGTCCTGGGACAGTTTAAAACCAAGACCCCCAACCTGTTACACTTCTCAGCCTAATGAACTTTGTTCTTTATTACCCAGAAAGACTTAGCAAGTAGAGCATCACCTTTACTGGGGGTTTATTAGATATGTGAAAAGTTTGGTGCTGGTTTGAATTTAGCATGATTGTTTCGGAAGAAAATTAACTCTGTGCTTAGGCACACTACAAGATGTGTGCTAACCATCCTGATTTTAACTGGATCCCCTGAGATGTAAAGAGAATGGGCTTGTTTTTCTCCTGTAAAACCACGTCTATATGTGAACAGACAATGTCAGCAGACCAGCCTCCTGTGAAACAGCTGAGGGTTGCATTGTTGTGTCAGCAGAGCATGTTCAGGTGCAGGAAATAGCTCTGTTCTCTTTTTACCCCTCAGGTGAATATTTACCGCCTGGTCACAAAGGGGACAGTGGAGGAGGAGATCATTGAGAGGGCCAAGAAGAAAATGGTGCTGGATCATTTAGTTATCCAGCGTATGGACACCACTGGCCGGACTGTTCTGGACAACAACTCTGGGAGATCCAAGTATGTGACTGTGTCAGGAGGCAGAGATGTCTGGAACAGCGTGTGGCATAACCAGCCTCGCCTGCTGGTATTTCCCAATATTTATTGGATAGGGTATAGGGCAGAAGGCTAATAAATAGTGGGAGCTTCCACTGATTTGGCTTATACAGCCATTAATTTGGGCACACAGGATAAAGATGATCAGAAATTAAAACCTAGTTTTAATACATTACTTGTTTTTCCTTCTGCCTTCCACCCAGAGATCACCCTGGTCTGAGGGAACCTGGTAGTCGTTGTGGAAAAGCTGCACTTTGGCAGTGACCTCAGACTCTCCCCATTTTCCCCCAACAGATGGAATTGGTTCCCTTTATAGTCATTATCCTTATTACAGCAGGAAAGAGATTAATAAAAAAAAACTTTTTAGAGCTGAATAGAAAACTTACTCCTTGCCTCAATTAGGAATAACTTTGGTGTGGTTTTGTGCTGTAGCAGTGCTGACTTAACAACTCAAAACACCTTTTCCTTCTCACTTGCTCTTGCAGCTCAAATCCTTTCAACAAAGAGGAGCTGACAGCTATTCTGAAGTTTGGAGCTGAAGATCTCTTCAAGGAGCTTGAAGGGGAAGAGTCAGAGCCTCAGGTAGTTTGACATTGAAATCTCATAGCAGTTTGTTGTCGTCTGCAGGTCTGCATGAAGGACTGTGTGTGGTTGCCCCCACTTTGTACTTGTTGTGTGCGTGAGAGCAGGTCAGTGAGCAGGACACGTGTGAGTCTGGAGAAGCTGAAGGAAGAGTGTGGGATTGGAGGATCAGGGGTTGAGGAAAGCCTTGCTGTTGGGGATTAAATAGTAAAGGTCATCAAGGGAGTCCCTTGTCTGCTAAGGATTCATTAGCTGGTTATAGCACAGCCTGCTGAAAGCTGCTCTCCCTGCCTCTTCTGAGCACTTGTTGTCAGCATCCTTTTTTGGTTGTTCTCCGAGAGGCAGGAGTCAGCACAGTGAAATGAAGTGAATAAGTCGCTTTCTTCTGCCTCAGTGCAGCATTGCTTGACAATTTAGTGTTGAGTGCTTTGACCGATTCTCTAAATGGCCCAAGCAGCAGAAGACTGTCCACAGTTCATATATCTCACTGTCTGGAAATTTTCCCGACTGTTCAGCCTCGATAGTCCTTTTCTTCTGTCCTGTCACCTTATTTATACTCTGTTGTACCATTTGAGATCGTTCATCCCAGCCCTCGGGGATGGCACCCTGCAGATATTTGCACTTTATTTAGCTCATATCAGCACACGAGTCTGTTCTAAAAGCCTCTTATTTCCCGCTGTGCTCGGTATCCTCTGCTTTATCCCTCCTTCTCCCTGACTGGTAGGAGATGGACATCGATGAGATTCTGCGTCTGGCTGAAACACGGGAGAATGAAGTGTCCACCAGTGCCACCGACGAGCTCCTCTCCCAGTTCAAGGTATGGACCCCCAGGCTCCGTAGTGGGGTGTGGGAATGTGGCTCCCCACATCCTGCCATGGTGGTAAGGTCAGTAACAGGCAGGAACACCTCGGAGAGATCACAGAATGGTTTGGGTTGGAAGGGACCTTATCTAGTTCCAACCCCCCCCCCCCCCATGTATGTATTAATTTGATTTTGAGTAAGTGGTTCTGAAGGCTGTGAATAAAATACAGAATTTACCAAATTTGGAAACAAAGCCAATAATTAACAAAGGCTCAGCAGTACTTTTTAAGCTGCACGTACTTCCTCAAAAGCCGTAAGTCCAAAAACGTGGCAGGGAACCAGGAATGTAGTGACATAGGAATTAATTATGAAGTAGTTTATGGAAGTGTTGGCAGAATTCCTATGGGGCAGGAGTTGAGGCTTACCAGACAGCCCAGGAGTGTTCCTGCCAGGGGAGGGAATTGCTAAAACTTTTCCTGTGCTTGTAAAAGGTCGCCAACTTTGCAACCATGGAGGAGGAAGAGACAGAGCTGGATGAGCGGTCCCAGAAGGACTGGGATGATATCATTCCAGAGGAACAGAGGAAGAAGGTGGAGGAGGAAGAAAGGCAGAAAGAGTTGGAGGAAATCTACATGCTGCCTCGAATCCGGAGCTCAACTAAAAAGGTACAGCCCATCTCGAGGAGCTGAGAGGCAGGAGGTGAGAGCTGGCAAAGGCAATGCTCAAGGGAAGCCCCCTTGCCGTCTGAGATTATTTTCCTCCTCCAAAGTTGGTTGGGAATAAAGCACAGAGGAAGTACATTGACCTCTTGTTGGCATCATGCATTGGGCCCATGGTTTGGGATGCGGTGTGAGGGCCCAGAGTACATTTGGTGTGATTCATCTTAGCAAACAAAATTAAAGAGAACCTGTAGTGGCCACAAGGCAAAGTATCCAATTGTATTGGATTTTGCTGCAGATTTTGCCAATTTCTGGCTCTTTGTTTTCCATGGACCCTCTAGCTCCCTGGGCTGCTCTTGCCTAAATGTGGGTTTTGAGGGGCAAAGGAGATGGTGTCTTCCCGAGTTCTTCTTTAGATCATGGGATCTACCCCAGTCCAAAGCAAAGCTGGCTGTGCAAGGAAGTTCTTCTGGGATAGGGGACTTCAATGGATTATGAACTGTTCTCTGGATGAGCTGGGGAAAAACACAGAGAGAAGGATAATTTGTGTTGGATGAATCCAGATTAATTTCTATGGAGTCCTGGTTTTCAAAATAGTCTAAGGGACTGTGGCACAAACCCATGGAAATCAGTGTGTTATAATGTCTCATAACCTTATAAATCAAAATACAGTTGTGAAACTGCTGGCTGTACAGGGAGGATGAGCACCAGAGCCTTTGCTAGCTGTGAAACTGCAAGGGTGTGCAGCCTTTCTGGGGTGGTTACGTGGGCTCTCGCATCTTTAGGAATGAATGCCAAGGTGTTTTACAGCCTGTACATTAAACAGTGCCAGTGCAGGAGGGACAGAAAAGGTTGTTAGCTGATTAGATTAGCAGTTGTTAACTGTGCTGCTGTTCTTCTGGTACATACAGGCTCAGACAAATGACAGCGAATCAGATGCAGAAACTAAGAGAAGGCTGCAGAGATCATCTGGATCAGAGAGCGAGACTGACGACACCGATGATGAGAAGAGACCAAAGCGCAGGGGACGTCCTCGGAGTGTTAGAAAAGACACTGTGGAAGGATTTACTGATGCTGAAATCAGGAGGTCAGTGCTGAGCACAAGAGACAGTTCAGAAAACAAATATAGAAGTGCCATGCAGGTGGAGAAAATCCCAGATTAATCCAGGAAGTGTTCACCTGTAAGCACGTCAATGGTTGGGTGGAGCTGGTTCATTGAGACAGCTTCTGCACCTTTATATAGTTCAGTTTGCTCCCAGCTGACCTTAACATCCAGGTCAGTGAAAAATGGACTGAACTGTCTTTAATCAGGCTACAGTGAAGCTGGTACCTTCCTAAAATTAATCCTTGTTGTAACTGCCTTTCCTCGGCCAAGGGGATTGAGCTAATTCCATGTAACATGTGAGGTCTTAGGTGCCATGAGATACAGAGTGGAGAAGCCAAGGGCTCTGACCTTCCTGACATTTTTCTGGCAGTTATCCTACTGATTTAAGCTCTAAGTGAAAGGCAGGCTCTGGCAAAGTGACCCCATGAGAAGCACTGGTCCTGTTGATCCCAGTCAGTCCTTGGAGGCAGCAGGGGGCTGAATTCCAGGGTATTGTTTTCTTCTTTTATCTTCTAATTCTTGAATCTTTCCCAAAGATCTTTGTGTTACAGCTCTGCCCAGATGTTCAGCCAAAGATGGAAAAGAGAGGGTTATGAGTTTTCCTTGACTCTCTCCATATCTGAGTTGGTATATTTTTAAGCAGGAGATACCAGATTTTCTGGACTGTGGTAGCTGCCCCATGTCCATCTTGAAACCTTGGAGCAGGAAGGATGTGTTACAATATGAAATATAGCAGCCATTTAGGTTATTGTGATTAAACAGAAAGAAGCTGAAAAAGCAGGAGATGAAAAAAAGAAGGCAAAAAAATAATTTAAAAAATAACCTGTGGCTGTAGCCATTGGGTTTACTCCCAGCACAAGGCACTGTTCGATTGCAGCAGCATTTGACTCTTGCCCTAAAGTTGTGTTAGCCATGGCAGAGATTTTCACAATAAAAATAAGACATAAAAATAAATAACAGTCCTTGTCTGCAAACCTCTGTGATGGATTGAACCACACTTGGCTCTTCTGTGATGGGTTGCTACATTTACAGCCTGAGCCTTAAAATTACTAATGACATTGATTTAATGCCTCTTTTCTTCGTGGAAAAATTAAGTTAATAATTACCAACATGGTGTGAGCCAGTGCTTTCTTCTATTTTTTTTTTACACTACAGTTATGACTCTCCTTTTTTTTTTTTTTTTTTTTTTTTTTTTTTTTTTTTTTTTTTTTTTTTTTTTTTTTTTTTTTTTTTTTTTTTTTTGTCATCTGTCAAACACTCAACATTCATACTAATGTTGTGTTCTTCTCCAGCCAAGGTCACAGAACTCTGTGTGGGGGCTAATGGGTGAAGCTTCCCAGTGCTGAGGGATGCAGAGCTAATCAATGGGGAATGCAAGGGTGATAATGTGACAAGCTGTAATTAATGTATTCAAGTGTATTTGTGATACTGGACCTTCTTTTTAGGGCAGTTAGTTTAGTCTTTTTATTTTTTTTTTTCCTTAGGTTTATCAAGGCTTACAAGAAGTTTGGATTGCCTCTTGAAAGGTGAGTCCCACCCTGGCCCTGCTCCAGAGGGGAATCACGGAGGGACATTGTATTTCTGAGCAGAGCCAGGCACACACATTGCTGTGGGTGTTTGAACCTTGCTGTCATGTCATCAGGAACACAAGCACTGCTGTGCAGTCCCTCGTGTCTCAGTTGATGGGCACTGGTGAGTGCTGGCCAAAAGCATCTCGAGCAGTCGTGGCGCCGGGCTGTGTAACAGCATCGTCCTGCTGGCAGAGTCCAGCCCTTGGGGCATTCCCACTCAGCCTAGAAAAGAGAGGGAGCAGCTGTTGGAACAGCAAATACTACCCAAAATGCTTGCCAAGCTTCTCTCTGCACGTTAGCCTCGAAACTGAGTTTGGAGCATCTTTCCGTGCTCTATCCCTCTTGAAGGGAAACGACGAGAGGCACACACCATCCTCGAGCGTGGGTCAGCAGAGCCCTGACTGACTGCTGTGACCCAGCATGAGTGAGGGGGGAAGGGAGATGCCATATGTGCTGGGGCTGGAAAGCCCCTGCTGAGGTCTCAGGGCTGAGGCAGAGTTCCCTGCATATATTGTATGAGAATTGCAGTGTTTTCTCAGCTGGTTGTACTCTTCTGTTGAGAAACACAAGGCTTGCGTGTGAGTCTTCAGGCAGGCAAAAGGGACAGCAGATGGCAGCTTTGGACCATCAGATGGAGTTAATATGGAACTGGGAAAGCCTGAGGGAACCCTGGGCAGTCACGGAGGGTCCCTCTTGTCCCCAAGACAGACAGTTCTCACCTTTGGTTTAGTACTAAAAAATCCAAAGGACTGGATCACTTATTCTACATCTGAACTGCAGCTGTTAGACCTAAAAAAAGACTAAACACTGGGTTGTTTCCTGCACAAACTCAACTCCTGCATGTTTCGTGCATTCATATATGTACAGTATTGAGTACTAAAAGTTGTGAAACAGTTGACTAGGAGATGACTGGGAGGAGATATTCTTTATCAAATACAAAACTCTTTCCCCCTCTCCCAGGTTGGAGTGTATTGCCCGAGATGCTGAGCTGGTGGATAAATCTGTGGCTGATCTGAAACGGTTAGGGGAGCTCATCCACAACAGCTGTGTGTCAGCAATGCAAGAATACGAGGAGCAGCTGAAAGAAAATCCCGGGGAAGGTAGGCAAGAGGGTTGTGTGCTGCTGTTATGATGTTTTTGGGATTGTTCCATGGAGCTGGAAAGGAAACCGTTCCCATGCTGGATGGGGAGGTGTGCCACATTGTGACTTAGAAGCGGTAAAACAAGCGCACACTTAAACCATTCCATCTCTGCCAGGCAGCTCTCACCAATAGAGAGAAACTCCTGAGCCTTCTGCTCGGACTGGAAAGTGGCACTTGGGTCTCTTGGCTTCTGCTGGACATGTGTTTTCATGGGGAGAGACTGAAGTGATCAGCTTATTTAACGCTGGGCCACAAAGCCCAAATTTTAACTGCTCCTGGGACTGGGAAGCAAGCTGGTGCTGTGTACTCCATGGTGAAGCTGGATCCAAGTTAGCACTTCCCAGAGCTGGAATCATCATCCACTGACTGTATGACTGTTCTGTGCTGTTGGTTTAGAGATAAAGGGTCAGGGCTGGATTTCCTGTTGGGTCTGTTGCAGCTGAACAAAAACTGCTGAAGCAACAGCTCCCAGCACACTTAGATGTGTTTTTAAGAAAATGATACTGGGAGGTGTTTGGATTGCAGATCTAAGTGAGTTAGTGTAAGAAAACTTACATTTTGGGCCTTATGTTTAGATAAGAGGTTGAGGCAAGGTCTTGATCACTGTCTGTGAAACTATTTTTACAGAGGCACTTCTTTCTGTAAGAGGTCTCTTAGTTGCTGTATTTTATTGTTGAGCAGGGAAGGGACCTGGAAAAAGACGAGGTCCTACTATCAAGATTTCTGGTGTCCAAGTCAACGTGAAATCCATCATCCAGCACGAAGAGGAGTTTGAAATGCTGCATAAATCCATTCCCGCAGACCCAGAGGAAAGGAAGAAGTGAGTTTGGCTAAAGCAGGCAATGCAGAAAGAGGCTCAGGGAATTTGGATTTTGTAGTGGAAAGTGAATGGCCTGGATATGTGGATTTGCTTTGTCCTCCACAGCATTAAAAGTGGCTCGTGTTTGAAATGCCTTTAGGTACCGCCTGACGTGCCGTGTCAAAGCTGCTCATTTTGATGTAGACTGGGGAGTGGAGGAGGATTCTCGCTTGTTAGTGGGAATTTACGAGCATGGTTATGGAAACTGGGAGCTAATTAAAACAGATCCGGAATTGAAGTTATCCGATAAGGTAGGTCGCTTTGTTTGCTGCTTCCATTGGGTCCATTGCAGTGCTCACAGAGAAAATGGTTCATTTACTCCAGAAACAGATGTTTGTGTTTATAACTACTCCAAAAATAACAATAAATAATAATGAGGGAAACAGTGACCTTCACGGAATGTTGCATGCTCGATGGAAAGCAGAGCTGTGTTATTTGATGGGCAGTACATTTTCCCCGAGCAGTACCACATGAACCACACTGAAGTGATGCAGGAAGAAAATGGCAATGCTGACATATGTGGCTACATGCGCAGGACAGAAGAGGCTGCATTGCATAATCGTGACTTGATGTTTCCTTGCGCATCTCACAAGAAGCTGAGTCTGAATTTCTGTGTGGAAGTTATTTTTCGCAGATTTGACACTGCTTATGTCAAGATTGGTCTGTGTTAGCTTTGAGGGCATAGTTACATTACTGGTGATGGCAGCACAGCCAGCTGGAAAGCCTCCATCTAGTTCCTCTGTTCCTCAGTCATGCCCACAAGAACAGTTTACAGGGACCATGTTGAAATTATCTGGGTTAAAAATAAGCCTCCATGCGTTGTGTCAGTGCAGTGGAAAGAGCAAACTGCAGCACAGGGCTGAGGAGCATCAGGAATCTCCACACCAGCTTTGCTGCCAATATGTGACATCCCCATGACATCCCTGCTAGTGCTTTTAGCAAAGATCATGCTGTGGCTGAGAGCCCTTAATGTGTGGAGTTCAGAAAGGCATCTTGCAGTGGAAAGAACTGCCTGAGACGCACCACCCAATTTCCAGTGAAGTATGAAACTAACCTAGTTGACGAGTTGAGATACTTCCCACAAAGTGGCCCCTTGGAGCCTTGTTTTCCACTAAAAATTCTGCATCTGTACCACTGCTGTGGCAATGTCTCAGGTTACCAGAGGGATCAGCCTGCTGTGACAAGGCTGCCACAAACAAATCTGATGTGTCAGGGAGAGTGGATTCAGTTTTGCAACACAAGGTCCCAAATATAGTTTGTGGAGTTGTTTCTTTTTCTTCGGGAAAAGATCTCTTTTCTTTAAGAAAGATCACAGAGAACCTAGAGAGCTGCCTTGGGGTCCTTCAGTTTCTGCAGAAGTCTAAGGGGAGGGAGGCTTGTTTGCTATGAGTTTCACTTTTAGCCAGACAGAGAGAGTCTGTGTGAGAGGGGGAAGGAATTCTTGAGCCTGCTTGTTCCCCTAGAAGGTGCAGCATCTCCAGCCCTTTGCTGAGCTTGGAAGGACTGTTGGTAGTGTGTATCTCGTTTGTCAAGCTTTGTGCATGTAAGTATATATTTTTTTTTCTGCTTTATCAAAGATCCTACCTGTTGAGACAGATAAGAAGCCTCAGGGAAAACAGCTCCAAACCCGAGTTGATTATCTACTGAAACTGCTGAAAAAAGACCTGGACAAGAAAGAAAACATGAAAGATGGGGAAGAGGTGAGATGTGGCTGCCTGGTTCTGGGGATTTCAAGAGGAGTGGTTGGCTGATGGTGGGGGGACAGCCTGTGTTCCCAGGTCACTGAACATCATCTCCGTGAGGGAATATGGGCTTGTCTGCTGTCTGATTGCATTGTGATATTGAAAGGATAATTAGTGAGGGGAAGGTAATTATTGCATTTACTGGGGCTCATCAGGCTTCCTGCCATCCTGCAGGGCCTGCAGCTGTTTGCAAGGTGTTCAGGAGATATGATATGTCCCCAGGAAGTAGCTGTTTGCTTGCCCTGACTATTTCTGTGTTTGCACCAGGGCAAGCTAAAGAAGAGGAAACCACGAGTAAAGAAAGAGAACAAAGCTCCCAAAGTCAAAGATGAGCATGGGAATGAACTCTCCTCTCCTCGGCACTCAGACAACCAGTCAGAAGAAGGTGAAGTCAAGGTGAGTCAACCTGGTGGATAGTGGCTTTTCCAGGTTTCCGTGAGCTGTGCCCAAACTCACCTTGAGAAGCACCCTCATCAAAGCCCTGGGGAGTCAGGGAGCACTACAGAGTGAATTCCCACAGGACTGGCAAACTTACAGAAGCATACATACAGCTGTCAGGGTGAAAGAAGGACCTTTCCCACCCACTCTTTTAGATCAGTGCTTTAAGTGTTTTGGGGCATCCTAGAATGGCCACACACATCCACATACTGACTCGGAGGAAAGGTTGTCTTAGGACAAAGCCTGCTGCCCTTATAAAGGAGAGAAAGAAGAATTGTTTCCCTCTCCTTTTGGGCATGTCAACCAGTGGTGAAGTTGGAGTTTACCAAGGTCATGCTGTTGCTTAGAAAACGTTCTGTCTTTGAGTGGTTTGGCTTGCAGTCTAAGGCTTTTTGTTCATGTGCTGATCAGTATCTACCTCAAGGGCTGAGCGTTCTGGAGCACAGCTGGCACAGGAGAGCAGTGCAGATCTGCAGCTTGCCAGCGTGTCACAGACTGGGGCTCCTCTGGTTTTTATACCATTTTGTCAGGTTTGGGCGGATGGCAGCTGCTTAAGCAGGGCTTGCTGTCTGGTTAAAGAGGTGTGAGGGCAAATTTGGATGTACCTCAAAAGTTGCCTGCGTTTTAAGGATGTAAGTTTTATTGGAAGAAAGTGTACATGAGGTGAGGACTCCAACTTTGTGCTGTGACTGGTTTTCTAGGAGGATGGCTTGGACAAGAGCCCGGTGAAAAAGAAACAGAAGAAGAAAGAGAACAAAGAGAACAAGGAAAAACAGACATCCTCTAAGAAAGAAAAGGAAAGTGACAAAGAGAAAAAGAAAACAAAAGACAAGAAAGAGAAGGTATGTGGTACTGTCAGGAGCAGTTTGATAGGAAAGTCCCTGAGCAGAAGGACAAACTCTGAGACTTAGGATTCATGAAAGGCCCTGTGTGAAGAGACATCAATGAAGCACTGGGGGTGAGGTGGTAACCTGTTTTTAGCCCTTCTTGCCATAAAAAGTAGAAAAGGCAATATGTCCTAAAGGTTGATGGAACATGAGCAAAAAGGAAGAAATTTTGTCAGACTGCCTTTAAAGTACGGCTGTCCCTGTGAAAGTGATATGGCCACATAGCTGGTGTTAAGGAAGAACAGGGGAAGAGCCTGGAGCACCCAGATCAAGGTTCTATTCAGCTGTGATTTATTACGGAGTTGGCAGTTCCTTGTCTTTATTCTCCTTTATTTTTAATTTAAACTCACCCAAATGACCCAACTGCCCACACCATCAAGACTGAACAGTTGTCATTGTCACTGTTCAGGACTCAACCAGAATGAGTGTTTCAACATCCCTGGTATGTTGGAGACTAAAACGTTTCTTGAATCTTGGGTACAACTGCCCTGAGGCTGGGCTCAAATTGGAAGGGGGATAAAAACTCCCATAATAATGACCTGAAGTACCTGTCCAAGGAACAGGTATGTGCTGCATGCCCAGTGTGCTTTGACACTGAGGTCATAAGTGCAATCCAAGTTTTGTTGTGTATTTAGAGGAAAGTTTGCTTTCCAATGTTTTTTGGTATGGCTTTGACTGCAGATAAGTCATGTAAGTAAAATTTTACATGAACAGGCCTTGATTTGAAAACTGGTGACATCACATGAAGTTGAGATCCTTGTAGACATGAGAGTACCCTGAGCTCTGTCCTTTGCAAGGGAGGGATATTCTTTCACTTAAACTCTCTTCCAAGTCTTCAGCACTTGGTTTTCTCTCCATGAGTGTGAATATCATATTCATGTCCAAACTGTTCGCTCTAACTTCTCTCTGCTCCCTTAGGGGTGATGTAAAGCCAAACAGAGCCATTGCAGCTCAACAGTTTTTGATTCTGGGAGGAAAGTTGTAGGAGCAGTGCCCAGGGTTTAACAACTGCCAGTAACAATAGTGCAGAGGCTGTTAGTTGGATCACTTGGGACCCTGCAGTCTGGCTCATCATGTGATGTGTGTAATTTGTCCTTGTAAAGCCTAAAGGTGGTGAGGCCAAATCTGGGAGCAAAGGGAAGAGATCGCAAGGTCCCGTCCACATTACTGCAGGGAGTGAACCGATCCCCATTGGCGAAGATGAGGATGATGATCTGGACCAAGAAACATTCAGCATAGTGAGTATTTTCCTCGGGAGATGGGAGGGCAGTGGCAGAGAGCCCAGCAAGGGGTTTGCTTAGATGTTATCGAAGGACGTGTGGTAGGTGTCAGGGTGTGAACCCTCTCCTAGCACCTCACAGGGATTTCCTCTGGCCAATCTGAGGGCAGGGCAGGACAATCCTGGACGAGATCTGACCACCAGCCTCTGTGCTACCCACTGGTAGCATGTTAGCAGAGCCAGTAGAGCAAGCACAGGGGCTCTCTGCTTCAGCTGGTAAGTTCCCACCTCTCATTTGGCAGCCCTGGGTTACAGAAGACCCTGCAGCCTTATGTGGCAATCCCTTCCTTGAAGAAGCCAAGGAACCATTGGGGCTCTTCCAGGCAGGGAAATAGAGTCTAGAGGGTGACCTTGTATGGCTCTGGGAGGTACAGAGCTGTGTAAATGCTCTAACAGCAAACGTGCCCACAAGGCTTGTTGTTAAAATAACCTTTTAGTAAAAGTTGTCGTGGCAGATTCTCCTTGGCTGAAATACCACGTCTTAAAAACAGTTTTCTCAATGCAAAGCTGTATATTCACCTCGGGTCTGTGCTATTTTTTGTCTTTTTCTATAACTTTCCCTCTGTGATACATGGAAGGCCCTGTCAGGCAGTAGAAACCTGTCTGATTTCCTGTCTGTGCCCAGTGTTGATGTGCACAGCTGAAAAAGATGCTTTCATCTCGTGCCTGCCAGTTTTGGTGAAAGGGAGCAATAAAGGGACTGCAGATAGGGATGAACAGGACTGAGTGAGCTCTCCTTCAACTGGGGCTGCTGGTTCAGTGTGTGGATACTTGGATATGCTTCTCTATCTGTGTGGGAGCAGACCATGTGTGGTTACAGCTTGCAAGGCAAATTGTTCCTCTCAAAAAGGCAGAGGTAGTGGAGGTGGGGAGACTCTTGTCTTTTCCTGATTGTTATCTGCAGCATGTCCAACAAATTGCTATTTTATAGCTGATTTCTCCTCATCTAACGGTCAGATAAAGCTAATATCTCGTTCTAATGAACTTCTTGTAGCTCTGTCTGATTAACAGGGGAACAGTGTAGAGACCTGTGCCAAATGAATCACTTTCTCCTCTCTATTGCTCTTTCAAGTGCAAGGAAAGGATGAGACCAGTCAAAAAAGCACTGAAGCAGCTTGATAAGCCTGATAAGGGACTGACAGTTCAAGAACAGCTGGAGCACACACGCAACTGCCTCCTAAAAATTGGTGATCGCATCTCTGAGTGCCTTAAAGCCTACACTGACCAGGATCACATCAAGCTATGGAGAAGGTGAGGGATCATTTTGTTTTCCTCGGCTGGTCTAGGATATTTTGAAATGGTAGTTAGAGGCTGCTGAGTTTTATGTGAGTGAATGTGCCATTTACCTGTTATTTAACCAGTGAAATCTTGTGTTCTCTAGCCCACTCAGTCCATAGAATCACAGAATATTGAAATGTTTTGGGTTGGGAGGGACCTTAAAGATTATCTATTTCCAACCCCCCTGCCACGAGCAGGGATGTCATCCACGACACCAGCTTGCTCAGAGCCCCATCCAACCTGGCCTTGAACACTTCCCTCACCTGGGACTGGCCATGATAAACTATCCCTGGCTTTTTCTGCAAGTGTTGGTTTCATTTACCTGTATTTCAAAGGTAGTTTAGATAAACCAGTGCAAACCTCTTTATTTTACTTTGAGGAACTTGGTTCAAGCCCTCCTGATCATCCTGTCCTGTGCTGGTTTGAGACTGTTTTCCAGAGAAGGTCAAATTGATTTGGTGCTGGTTTGGAAGCAGTTGGCAGTTAAACTGCTGATGTGGCAATTAACAGAAAACGTTCATGTCCTTCTAGGAACCTATGGATATTTGTGTCAAAATTCACAGAATTTGATGCCAGAAAACTACACAAACTCTACAAGATGGCTCATAAGAAAAGATCGCAGGAAGAGGAGGTGAGAGCTGAAGTGCCTTCCCTTTGATTGCTGTCTTTAAATGTTGCTGCACTTGAAATGCCAATACTTTCTGCCTCTTACCATGGGTGTTCTTAGTTGTTGCTGGCAGTCTGTGATTTTCTGAACATCTAAGCAGTCCGGCTGCATTTGCCTTCTCTTTCATGTGGCATTTCTGGTCACTTTGTCCTGGCTGTTCTGACCAAGAAAAAGCATTGTTTTGTGTGGCATGTGGTGTTGAGTTGCCCTTCAGAGTGAAAAGCCTGGCGTGCTGCCCTGTAGAGATAAGTGTAGAAGCAGAGCTGCAAAACTGTGCCTGTCCTCCACCATGTTTGCTTGGGCACAGTTGGTTCACCAAGTCTTCAAAGAGGCAGGAAAATCCAGAGCCTGACAGACAAGGCCATTCTGCACAGAGTCCAGATCTTTTGATGGAAGACCAGCTGAGCTATATCCCTCTCTTCCACCTTGCAGGAGCAGAAAAAGAAGGAGGACACGTCCAGCATGAAGAAGCCGTTCCGCCCAGAGCCTTCAGGCTCCAGCCGTGATTCCGTGATGTCCCAGTCTCATGTGCCTCACAATCCTCATTCCCAGAAGATCCATATGCCCCCTTCCCACACCCAGCAGCAGATGCACGGGCACCCACGTGACAACTATGGCCACCCAAACAAGAGACACTTCAGCAACACAGGTGAGTGCTGGCAAGCCAGGAGAAACCACCCCTTCTAACCTCATGCTCCTGGACACTAATCCTTCCAGGGATTTTGACTGGTCACGTCTAAAGGTGATGGGATAGAAAAAATTTTACCATTGTACTCATTGCTGGACTAGAAAACTTGATGATGTAGTGAGGAAAAGAACATAAGAATGGGACACAATAAGATTTGTCAGAATAATGATAAAGAAATTCAAAGAAGAAAATCGGGCCCACATAGTTTAGGGAGGAGAAAGTTAAAAGGGGCACCAATAGTTACAATTTCTGTGAGAATTCAGGAAAGCAATGGGCTTAAACTAAAGTATGAAAGAGACTTAGAGATGCTCTTTCCTTGTGGCAGACCGAGGAGACTGGCAGAGGGATCGAAAGTTCAACTACGGTGGCAACAGCAACCAGATGTGGGGCGGGGAGAGGCACCACCAGTACGAGCAGCACTGGTACAAGGACCACCACTATGGGGACCGGCGGTCGCGGGGGGATCCCCACCGGAGCTCCGGGAACTACAGACCAAACAACCTCTCCCGCAAGAGGCCGTACGAGCAGTACAACAGCGACCGAGACCACAGGGGCCACCGAGACTATTATGACAGGTAATTAACTCCCTTTCACCTCAGGCAGGTTGGGAGGGGTTTGAAAGGACGCGCCGTGCTGGCCAGGCTCGCCTTGGGAAACTGATCTCCACCTGTTTGTTTTCCCTCTGCAGGCACCACCACGAGTCCAAACGTCGACGGTCCGATGACTTCCGGCCTCAGAACTACCACCAGCAGGATTTCCGACGGATGTCTGATCACAGGCCGCCCATGGGATACCATGGCCAAGGACCTTCGGACCACTACAGGTCCTTCCACACGGACAAACTGGGAGATTACAAACAGCCCCTCCCTCCGTCTCACCCTGCAGTGTCGGACCCTCGCTCGCCCCCCTCTCAGAAATCCCCCCACGATTCCAAGTCACCTCTTGATCACAGGTCACCTCTGGACAGGTCATTGGAACAGAAAAACAATCCAGATTATAACTGGAACATTCGGAAAGCATAAAGGGGCTGAGAGGGGAAAGTGCACGTCTGAAATACTCGTATTGGTGTGGCGGTGGCTGCTTTCTCCAAACCAGCAACGAGAAATTCTGAACATGCTGCTATCGTCTGGCTGGGTCAAGGAGGATTATGGGGAAGTGGGTGGAGGAAGATTTTCCCTAATTCTTGATTCTGGTTTGGATTCCCATTCCCTTTCCCCTTTTTTTACCATTGAACTGTTCTATCATGGAACCAGCCTTGCTGCCTCGGTCTTTGTTTTTGTTTTCCTCAGTCCAATGGACCCAAGGGAATTTTCCCCAGCCAGTGTTTCCTCAGAAGGAGAAGGCAGATCGATGCTGCTTAGGATGGTGCAGAAGGCTTTGAGCCTGCTCCAACTTGATGTTATGTGACAGATGCTGCTTTGAGATTGAGGATAAACTGGTTTGGCAGGGATTTGTGTGTAACCAGCATGGGGCAATGGGAGGATGTATTCAAGGAGGGACAGGAAAGACCCTCAACAGCCAACTTTGGTTGAAAGAGGGACTTGCTGTTCCTGCAGAATGAGCTATGCTGGTGACAATCCATCGCTTTCCTGGCCATGTAATCATTTCCATGTCTTTATCCATTTCAAGAAACTGTCTCTGCTCTGATTTCTGTTGTCCCCTGCAACAGGAGAGCTGGGGGGGATCTCCCTCCCATCTCCAGGGCTGGAACTGGCAAATCTTGGCTCTGGGGAGGGCAGGAGTTGGGATACGTGAAAAAAAGACCGACTTCCTTAGCAAAGGCTTAATTCACTTCTAACCAGTAGGAAAGAAATTGGGGTGAGATCAGTATTTCCTAGTGGACAGGGATCAGGAATTCATAACAAAACTCTTCTCTTCTGGCATGGGCAGCTTGGGTGGTCCAGGAACTAACAGGTGCTGGCTGGGAGCTGCAAGATCAAAAGATGGCTCTGGGCATCTGGGGATCCTGGAACTTACAGTCTCCCTCCCACTGAAGTGCTCTGGTCTTTGGGCAAATAATTTCTCTCTGTGCTTCACGAAGGAGTGATCACAAACCTTTACTGCAACTGAAGGATAAAGGATGGTCGAATAAAGAAAAATAGGAATCCACTGTTCGGGAATGGTCAAATTCCTCCCACTCTTCTGGCAGTGACTCAGAATTGCTAAAAGTACCTGCACTTATAGACCTTCTGTCAGTCTAAATTCAAAATCAGCCTGGAGACTTAGCACCTCAGTGAGCAGGGAGCAAAGAAGGAATTCAGGACTGATCCTTGGAGCAAATGTCTTAAGAGCCCAGCATGGCAGAGGGAAAAGGGGAGTCTGCAACCCAGTTCAGTGGACTTCAGAGCAAACACTCCAAGTATTCAAGCCACAGCATTTGATGCAAACCAGCATCCAGCCTGGACTCTGTTCTGTGGTTGCGCACAGATTGCTGACCAGAAGTAGTCTGGGTGATTATTTTTCAGGTTGGAGTTCCCTGGACACCACAAAGCTCTCCCAAAAGACAGACTGCCCAGAGCGTGGTGTCTGAGGATGCATCGCCTCCCAGAGCTCAGTGTTAAAGGGAGGTGTTAAAAAGCTCAGTGTTAAAGTGTTAAACCAGGCCGTTCCAGACTCCTCTCTGATGGGAGACAGAAGCTGGGCCTCCTGTTAAGATGCCAGTATTTGACCCTAATAAGCTGTGATGTCCTTTCCCCGAAAAACTGAGGGCAGGTGGGTGTTCAGGGCTGGTTTCCTGACTCCAGCGAGTGCCTTGGAAGGTGCATGCAAACCGACACTAATATATCCCATGTCCCCTCCATGCAGTGTATCCCTGGAAATCTGCTGCCGTCACTCCTTCTGAGCCCGCTGCTTTAACGGGACACACGGGAAGGGTTTTTCTTCCTTTTTATTTTGCAAGATTTCCACCAAATTCAGGGCAGTTTTGTTTCCTTAGGGGCGCTTGCTGCCCTGAGAAAATGTTACACTTGTGTTTACCTGTGCAGGGCGAGGTGAAGGCAAGTCTTCCACAGTCCTCCTTGGAGCTGCCAGGCAGTGGGAGGTGTGGAGAGAGCACGTTTCCGCAGCTTTTCCCACTAAGCTGTGACTGCAGCCTGTGGTATTCAACAAAGAGGTCCTTTCTTTTCAGAGGTATTAGCTTTTAATGTGAAAATGGAAGAAACCTCAGAGGGGGCAAAGAGAATTGCTCTTTTTGTCCCTAGGTGGTGCTGTCATGGTGGGAAGTTCGTGCCATACTCTTGTAGCAAAGGCAATACTGGCCAGCCAGTGTTGGGGTTGGTGCAGGAAAACCTTGAACCCCGGCAAGAGGCATTTTCTGTGTCCAGATGTGGGGGGTTCTGCACATCGTGGGTTCCAGGTATGAGGTTGGTTTGGATTTCCTTCTTGTGCAACAGCTTTACTCATGTCCACCAGAGAGCTGTCCCTGCTGTCACTTCACAGTGATGCTGAAGGCACATCACTTGGTCCGCTTGTGGTGGGTAGGTCTTTGCTGGGTTTGGTTTCAGTGAAGCTGGAGAATGAGATTTGGGAGAAAGTTCTCCCTGAGCACACACAGACACACATAGACACACACACACACATTTTATGTCCCCTCAGCATAGGGACCATGACCAGACACAGTCACTTGGGTGTGAGTGGGATCGGAGGGGACACGTCCACAGCCATAAACTTCCCTGTGGTGTTTGTGTCAACACCTGGTACAGCTCTTCCTTCCAAACTGGCTGCTGGATTCCCTCCAGCCTCTTTGCAGGAAAAAGTAGTAACTTGATGGGTTTTTATTTAAAAAAAAAAAAAAAAAAAAAAAAAAAAAAAAAAAAAAAAAAAAAAAAAAAAAAAAAAAAAAAAAAAAAAAAAAGTTTTTTAACCTGACCTCTTTGGAAATGGTGTAAAGTTGTGAATTCACATGGTAGAAGTCCTGCAGACCAAAACCTGCTGTGGGGACAAGCGATGTGGTCCCAACCAAAACGGATGTGTAACAACGCACTGAAGTCATTGCGTGAACGGTTTATGATCCACACAAAAATACTACTCTGCTTTCACCCATTTCCTCCCAACCTCTGCCTCCCCTCCAGGGAGAGAAGGACTCTTACTGTAAAAAATGCGGACTTTTAAACCTGTTGACTAAAAACAGTAATTAATATTAATTTATATTTGTGAAAGAAATGCCACTGTCCTAGTGATTTCTGATGTAAATATGTTGTTTATATAGTATGTATGAAATTTTCCTACATTGTAAAACTGCTGTACTTTTGATTCTTGTATATTAAAAAGTGTTACTGAGATTTTCAGAACGACCCCAGTGTGGTGTCTCTGGGGGGCCCTGCAGCCTCTGGGTACAAAGGCAGCTCTGGGGGGTGAGAGCCTGACACTGGGGCTGTTTTGGGATGACAGGGCCCTTTCCTGACAGCCACAGGCAAGCCACGATGGATATTTTCACTGTGCAGGAATAAGCATGTTCTTCTTGGCTGCTTTTACATAGTTTCACAGTCTGTGGTGATAGAGACTTGGAAACCCTTTTGGATGGGAATTTCCACCTGATCAGGAGGAGCCAGGCATTCCCTCTCCCATATTCACCAGGATTTCACTGCGATGACACCAGTGCTTATGTGTGTATCCAACCTCCATATTTTCTGGATCTCTGGACACGTGTAAACTTATTTTTGACCCTTTCTGGGGAGAATTCCCCATTTTCCAAAAGGAGTTCTGCTCCTGCTGAGTTGGTGGAGTTTTTCACTCTGTCTCCAGCCCCTCCTGGGCATGATGTGCCTCTCCCCAGGTGGGATGTGATGGCACCCAGCGGGCTTGCTTTGGTTTGGTTGTTACCCTCCACTGCTCATGCTGAGGCCCACACGGCAGGGCAGGGAGCAGGGATTGGAGCCATTTCTCCCAAGTTACAAAAGCTCATTGTAAAAAGCACTTTTCACACCTGTAGCCACTGGGTCCAGCCCTTCCCAGCCTCTCTGCTGCTAAGCCAAGTTTCAGCCAAGAGTGAAATTTCACAGCTGAGTTATATGCTCCTGAAAAATGGATTTCCTAATGGAAAGAGTGACTGGCTGTTAGCCATGGGGCTGTGGCAGGGAGAGGGGCTCAGCTGGAGGGAGGCACAGGGGCTGCGGGGAGGCTGGTCTGGGTGTACGTGCCTGGAGCATGGGGGGTGACTCTACCCTGAGGCCAGTGATCTTTTTAACTTTTTTTTTTTTCTTTTTTTAGTTTAAGGAGGCAGGTAAGGATATGGGCACCCTGATGCTGGGGACACCATTTTCCTGGCAGAGCTCAGCCCAGCATCCCCCTGCCCCCCCATCTCCTCAGCACCACACTGAGAAGAGTTAAATCCCTCTCAAAGCTGATGGATAAATGACCCCTTCCCACATCTCGCTGTCAGACAGGTCCAGTCAGTCCCACAGAAGCATGTCCTTATCCTGATATGGATAAGGACATGCTCCATGCAGTGCCATGGCCATCCCAGGGTGCTGGGCAGGGCTGGAGCTCCAACTGGGAGCACAGGATGGAGCTGTGGTCACTCCTGCTGGTTCACCTTGGCAAGGGGACCCCAAGTGTCTGGCAACACCAGCACAGGGAGCAGGACCCCCAGTCCTGCCTTGCACCCACCTCAGTGAGGGGATGGGTAGGCTGGAAAGCCCCCCTGCTGTGCTTTATGCCAGAGTGGACCCTCTAGAGGGCAGCCGGTTCCCAGAAAAAAAAGCCATTTTTTGGTGAACAACAATATTCTGGGGTTGTGGCTGTTCCCGGACAGCTGGGTGTGTGGAGTGGCTGCTCACCCTGAGCGCTCGGATGCAAAGCTCAGACCACCCAAGGCAGTGGCCCAAGGACAGGGAATGGGCAGACACAGCCATAGTGGGGCTGGAAACCCCTTCCAGACTCCAGGCAGTAGCACTTGATCTGTGATCCATTGCAGGGCGATGGGATGGGACCCTGGAGCCCCCAGGGGCTGCACTTCACTGTCCATGAAGCACAGACTGGAGAGCAGTTTGAACCTCCCCGAGGTGCCACAGGGCCACTGCTGCCACATCCGACGTCCCTTCATGGCCTGTGCCTTCCCCCCTCAGCTCCTGGGGAAGCTTCGGTGCCATGTGTGGTTAATGAGGACGGGGCATCCTCGCCCCTCGGGGGTCACCGTGCCCTCGCATCAGCACCTTGTCCCACCAGGATGTGAGGGTGCTGTCTGCTCGCTGCCCCAGGCTGGAGAGCAGGGGACCACTGAGTGAGAGACACCCCCGCCTCCCCCCCCCCAGCCCCTGAGCTCCGTGCACCTTTTAGATGACTTTGCAGATTTGGCTAAACCTGAGATCTGGTGAAACATGTGGCAGAGGGACTGGGTTTGGCTCTTTCCAAAGGCTTCTAGTTCTTATGGGCTCTGAAGGAGTGGGAGGGTCAGATTTCAGATTTCTGGTGCTGGGTGTCACTGTATGGATTCAGATAAATAACGTGTTTCGAGTTGGTGCTGGTATTCTGCCTGCCCTCAGAATGTCCCGGTCCCCGGCTGCTGTGACAAGAAGTCCTTCAGATTTCAAAAATGGAAAACTGAACAAAAAAAAAAGATGCAATTTTGCTTTTCCTCATTAGAGGGCAGCAACAAACCCAAATGGGACAGGAGCGGTGGAAAGGAGGAATTACCAGATGCACAGTAAGATCTGCTGGGGTGAGCAGGGGAAGGGTGATGGTACCCACTTGGACTCCATTGCTGCACATCTCCTTTCCCAGTGAGGCAAGGCTCTAATGGTTTATTATCTATTTTTTTTCTCCCACCCTCTTTTCATTTTTCTTACTTGGCTGTAGATAAACCCAG